GATCAAAATGTTCAGTAATGGTAGCTGGGCACCGTCCAGTTCTTCTGGTCTCATGGTAAAGGAGACAGTTGTTCATGGAGGTGATTAGCCATAGGCTCCATATCCTCCTCCTATTCCTGACTGTCCTTCTTCCTCTGTCGCTGCAGGTGAATAGAGACTAATTATTGAGCCTTGGATGGCTGATTACAAGCTTTTAAGACCCTAGTCACTAGGCAGTGAACTAGGAGGTAGAACAGGAGCATTAAACACATTATTAGGCCAATTAACTGGGATGTCCCATGAAACCATGACCCTAAACTTCCTCCAGACCAAGGAGCCAAATCCCATGAGGCTTTTGGTTGTACAGAAGCAGCTTCAGCAGCTACTCTTTTGTTGTTGTTGTGAATTCTGGCAAGCTTTTTAACGTCTGTGAAGTTTCTTCTTAAAATGGAAATCAGTATCTGCATAACCTACCTTACACAATTACTGTAAGTCTCAAAAGCAATAGATTGATTTTGTAAAACACATACAACTATAAGGGATTTTATTTTTAATTAGTATTATATATTATAACAAGTAAGATTATTTTCCTTATGGTACTTGGTTTGAAGATCTCTATATCAGTACTGCTAGAAGGCAGTATTTTTACCTTATTTGAAAGACAGGAGTGTTTGTAAGGTCCTAAAAAAGCAGAAAGACCAAAAAAAGAAAAAAAAGAAAAAATTCCTTTCTCCAGATTTGATAGAGATAATGATGGTATCACCCAACTATAGGCCACAGTCAGTCTTATGTTGGGGAGAGGGTGGGCAAGGATCCTTATTTATTTTTTCAAAGACTGTTATTAACCTACTGTATTTATAGTGCTTATGGCATTTATTGTACTAGAATTAGAAAGACAAGACATGGTCCCTGCCTTCGGGTGGCTAATTGCCTGTTGACTATTAAACAAATGATTTTAAACCACTATGTTAAATGGAGAGATAAGTGCACAATGTTGTGGGAGCACAGTCTGGAAATGCTTCTTGGGGGAAGCATATCAAAACTGGAAAAGCTTCCTGTAGGAGATGACACCTTAGTTGAGTCTTAAAAGGGAGTTATGGGACAAGGGACAAATTGCGAAGGGAAAGCAACCAAGCGCGTGACTCGCATTATAAAGGCTCAAGTGAGAGAAATCATGGCTCATTCTGGGAAATGCAGGTAATTCTGGATTGCTGTAGTGTACTGAGGAAAGGAGTGGCAAGAGATAAGACTGGTAGGAGATAACGCAGTACAGATTATGGAGACCCTTGTTTGGACTTTACTCTGAATGCTCTGGTAAGTATTGACTGGTATTAAATAGAAGAATATCATAATTATATTTACATTTGAGAAGGATATATGAAGGATATGATCTCGCTATAATATGAAGAATGGATCAAGAGGGTCTGTTACTAGAATTAGAGGAGATGAGGTAGGAGGTGGGGAGCCCTGGTGGCACAGTGGTTAAGAGCTCAATCGCTTACTGAAGGGTTGGCAGTTCGAACCCACCAGCCACTCCGTGGGAAAAAAGGCCTGGCGGGTGATGTGCTCCTTTAAAAATTACAGCCTAGGAAACCCAATGGGGCAGTTCTGTTATGTCCCGTAGGGTTACTATGAGTCAGAATCAATTCAACACTACACAACAAAAACAACTAGGAGGTTATTACAGCCAAGAGTCGTGATGACCTAACTTTATCATTCAGGATGAAGGCAAAGGGCATCTGTTCAAGAGATAGACTACATAGAGCGCATGGATTTTGGTGACTGATTAGCTGTGGGAGAGTAAGGAAGACGATGATTTAGTGAACATATATGGAATCCTTAGCATTTTCCAGGACTGTACCAAGCACTTTTACTCATATTTCCTTATTTATTCTTACTGCTGTTGTTGTTGTGTGCTGTCAAGTTGATTTTAACTCATAGTGACCCTATGTGACAGAGTAGAACTGCCCAGTAGAGTTTTCTTGGCTATAATCTTTATGGAAGTAGATTGCCAGGTCTTTCTCCCACAGAGCTGCTGGGTAGGTTTGAACCAGTAACCTTTGGTCCCCGTTACACAAATGAGGAAGCTGAGGCTCAGAAAGTCTGGTAACTGACCCAGCCAGAGTACTTTCATTCAAACCCCAATCTATCTGACTTCTCTAAAGACCACGCTATTAACCACTGCACTACACTGCTTAACAGTTTCTAGGTTAGTAGCTCGATTAATCAGGTGATTGCTGGTAGTGCAGGATCATGTATCAGTGGGGTCTGAAGGATGGGGGAGCAGTGTTAGGGAAGATGGTGAGTTCTGTTTTAGACAGTTTAGATGCCTTTGGGACATTCATGTAGAGACGTCTAGGTAGAAGCTGGATATAGAATTCTGAACCCAGAAGAATGGTCTGAGTTGGTTGTGTTGCTCTGGGAATCATTAATCTATAGGTGGTTGTGGTGGTATCACCCGGCAAGTGGGCTGGGTGGTTCTGTGGCAATGGTAGTTGGAGGCTTGGGAGTGGACATGATCACCTAAATAGTGTGAATTTGTGTATAGATTGAAAAGATGTGTTATTCAGTAGCTTCAATTCTGGACATTCTTTCAGATAATGTCTCAAATCTCACCCTACCCCTACAAAACCCAAAAAACTAGGTACTCTTCTATTTGGTTAGTAGTAGAATGAAGGTAGTTATACATGATAACTGTATTGAATACTCTCTTCATTTTGCTTAAGTCAGCCAGCAGAACTGTAGCTTGTGTAGCGGTGAAAGCATACAGGTAAAAAGTGAATTATGGAAAAAGGGAAATAAAATCCCATGAAGCTGTATTCTTATGCTTTTAAGATTCATAGGTGTTCACCAACTTTGGCAGGCTTTAGAGACACTTGAACTGTGTCTCTGTGTTAACACTGGTCCCAACTTGTAGCATGCGTTGTATATGGAGGAACATGTTTTATAACAGAGCTGGGGGGTATCTACTGGTGGAAGGTGGCTTTGGAGTTGATTGCATTGCTGCCTTTTTCCCCTGGGATTTAGAGTGGGGTGGATTATATTTGAGCCCTGGTTTTGCAGGGCTCAGCTGCTAACCAGTCGGTAGTTCGAGCCCACCAGCTGCTCTGTGGAAGAAAGATGTGGCAGTCTGCTTCTGTAAAGATTACAGCCTTGGAGACCCTACAGGGGAGTTGTTCTCTGCCCTGTAGGGTCGCTATGAGCCAGAATCAACTCAGCAGCAGTGGGTTTGGTTTGATTTTTTTTTTTTTTTTTTTGGTCATCACCTAAAATGGCACAGGGCAGCAACTCGGGCACTCAGGTGATGCTGGTATAACATGAAGAATATATTGGCTGCTTCTAGTCTGCTCCATTTGTGAGCAGAGCAGATACTTGGAGGCTTCTGCTACTTCTCCAGGCCAGGACATAGAAAGGGGTATTTGGTTCACATTCTTATTTTTTTTTCTTTGATTCTCTTTTATACAACATTCTCTGGCAAGTCATTGGGCCCAGAGAGACCAAAGCTCATACACAGAAAATAATGGACAGGGATTATATTATCTTCCTTATTTTATCATGTGAGCTGCTTATCTCTTCCACAGGGAGGACAGTGTGTTGAGTTGAGATATTCTGGTGTCTTTGGGGTAATTGTAGTTGCTACGGTCATTTTAGTTCAGTCAGCTTCAGTTACCTGACCTAATTAATGCTTTGATTAAATAGAATCTCTCCAAGTCAAGGCTTTGATTAAAATTTCACTGACTTTATGACATCACTTAGGGTCTTAAAACATTTTACGTAGATGTATATTGATAACTTTTTATACTTACTTATGTGTATAGTATGGGCAACTTTCAGAGCCCTTGTCCCTCTGAAGTTGTAGAATGCTATACTTTAGGTTCATTTACTTCATAAATATTTATTGAACACCTACTACATGCCAGGTAGTGTTCTAGATGGTAGAGTATAATAGGGAACAAGCTAGACAAGGTCCCTTCTTTCTTGGGGCTTAATTTTTAGTGGTTGATATTAGACATTGAGTGAGGCCAGTTCAGATAAGTTGATACTTGTGAAAGATATGTAACAAGCTGTTTTGGATGTGTCTGCTTTCCTTCCCTACTGCATGTCTAGATCCTATCCATCCTCATTGGAAGCCTGGCTGAAATGTCAGCTTCTCAGTGATACCCTTATCTGATCTTTCTGGCTGATAAACTCTTCTCCTCTCCGAAATCCCATGCCATTCTATCTGTAACTTCCTTTTGCCACTTCTAAAAAACTTTTCTGCTTTGCTTTATAGTTATTAGTGCACATGACAAATCTTCCCTATTAAAGTGTAAGTGATTTCGAGCAGGGTAGATATCATTCATCTTGCTTTGGGGCATTTTACATGTGGGCAGTATGATGTTGTGGGGGAGAAAACAACACACTGAACTTAGAGCTGGAAACTTGAAATCGAGCACTGGCTTCCCTATTAACTACTGTATTTTTACACAGATAATGCGCGTGTTATGTTTTTTTACCAACCCCACAACCCTCTCGTGCATTATTTTCCTAGGCATGCTATGCATGTTATATGTGTGGGTGCATTATTTGCGAAAAATACGATAACTATGTGACTGTAGGCAAGTCATTTAACTTGACTGAAATTCAGTTTCCATCTGCAAGAGTGTAGTAGTTATCCTTCCATTGATGAAAAATTTTTGGAAGGCTCAGACAGAGAAAATACGTGTGACTACACTTTGTAAATTCTGAATTCCGTTACAAATATTTGGTGTCCTTCTAGTAAATGCTCAATAAATATTTGAATTAGTTAGCATTTGTTTTTAGTAAACACCTTTTCCTGGGTAGTTCTCTTGCCTAATGAAGTCTTTGTGATTTTGGAAATATGTCAGACTATTGTTTCCATCTTAATTTATTGTTAAAATGATTCTGTTTCTCAAAGTTGGTATCCTGCTAACCCCTCCGCCCCCAGGAATATTCTCTCTTTTTTCCATAGGTGCTGTGTAATATTAAAACAACGAGTGACATTTGATCTGTTTCAGCAGGTGGTACATTATGGCTGACATGCAAAATCTGGTAGAAAGATTGGAGAGGGTAGTGGGCCGCCTGGAGGCCGTGTCCCAGGCCTCTGACATGCACCGTGGATATGGAGACAGCCCTTCAAAAGGTAAGCAATCCACAGCCCAGCAGAATATTTTGTTCTGGCTTTATTTGGCTGAAGATTTAGTGTCTTGGCCTGAAATTTTCCTATTGCAATGAATTCTGTCCTTTGGAGCTAACTTCCTAAAATAATCTAGGCAGTTCATCTTCTCTAATTTATATTGCTGTGAGCAGATAAGGAAGTGACTTGTGCAAGGATGTCTGGTTAGGTTATTTTAACACAAGAACTTCCTGCTTGTGTTATATTTCCTGTTCTTTCTTTAGCACAATGACTCCAGGGTAAGTCAAATGACAAGTTAGGTTAGAACTTCCTCTCTAAATGATTGGCAAATCGGCCATTTTGCACATGCACCAATGGAATCATAGAACATTAGAGCTAAAAGAAACCTTGGAGGATTATCTTGTTTATTTTCATTTTATAGATGAAGAAGATTAAACTCAGGAAAAGGGACTTAATCAGGGTCACATAACCAGTTAGTGGTGGTACTGGAACGAGAACCCTGGTCTCCTGACTTCTGTTCCAGTACTGTGTCTTTTGTGTTACCTTGCTCCCTCACTTTCATATGGAAGTATGTTTTAAAGAAATGTGTTTCCAATACATGACTGATTCTTTGTGGCATGTCTGTCTTCGGCAGGAGCAGCTCCACATGTGCAGGCATTTGACTCGCTGCTCGCAGGTCCTGTGGCAGAGTACCTGAAGATCAGTAAAGAGATTGGAGGAGAAGTGCAGAAACATGTAAGGATGTTTGCCCTTTTTCCCCATTTTTAAGGACTGGCAGCTTTCTTCAAATCCTGCTCATTCTTTGTTTAAGAGCCCTGTGAAAGGCTCCTGGTCTCTTCTGTTCTGCCTACACTGAGGCACTCAGTATGCTGAGGAGCACTGGAATATTCCTCATTTTTTTCCAGGCCCTGCTTTAATCACATATTCTGTGTGGGCTTCTTTTATACAGAAAGCTTGCTTGGTGCATGAGATACGGCTCTGTTCATCTTTGCAGTGAGGAACATGCTGCCAGCCTGATCCCAACATGTTATATAACCAAGCCTGGGGGGCTTATTCAGAGGAGTTATTCTCATGACTTAGCATTTCTAAAACTGTGCTTGATAGTTATGAGTTATGCTAATATGGGTTATTTTCACACTTAGCCCACAGCAAGAATATGAAGCAGGCAGTGACAGGTGTCTCTCCACCTACCTCGTTTCATGTGCTGCCTCCTGCGTTGTCAACCCCCCGCCCCCAACACACACACTCACATACACACTCTGTCTCTTTCTTCAGGACGCAGAACCTTCCTGCTAGTCTACTGAGTGATCCTTTGTAAGCAATAACCATGTTTAGGAGCTTCCTCATCCTTCAGCAAGATTTGTGCTTTGCGTTCGGAAGATTTATTTTGAACCTTTTATACACCGTCTGTTGATAGTGGTGTTATCTCTAGGGAGTGGGACTGGGACTTAGATAGGAGCGTGGGGGCTTGCATTTTTACGTTTATATGGTTCTATAACACTTGAAACAATTTTGAACATGTATCACTTTTGCATTTCAGAAGTGCATATCCAGAAAAAATAAATTACCTTCTTTGAATTTTTGTATTTTAACAGTGCTTATGACCTTGTGTTTCTTAAATTCTTTTGAGTATGACCCTCAGTAAGAAACACATATTAAATTTGTAACAGATAAAATTTTCATGAAACAGTGCTTATACCATATGTACTGCAGTTTTTTATGTTTTTACTTTTTATTTGGGAATAATTTCAAGCTGATGGAATGCACTCTTATGTTTTTATTTCACTTAATAAAGTGCTGGTTGTGGCTCACTAAATTGATTTAATTGCCTACTAATGGATCATGATCCGGCAATTGAGAAATATCTATAACCTAAAGGAGTAAATATCTTGAGAATTTTAGGCATAAATTTAGGCCTTTACGTTTACTCCTGCCTCTAGGTTTTTTTTTTTTTTTTTGGTTATACAAGGTAGGAGGGATTTTCATTGCGTTTTATGTCATACTGCATGTGCAATTGCTAATTTGATGTCGCCTAACACTATCCTTGATTATCTTCATTTCCAACTCTGGATATTTATCCCTAATTTATTCCAACGGGAACAGTAGTATATGTAATTCAGCTCTCAGACCCTGCGATCTGGAGTACATGAGGAAAGCAACAAGAAGTGCCTGGGTCCTTGGAAACCAGAGTCCATGGAAGTGGAGATTTCATGTTATTCTTATCAGGACCACTCTAGTTGTAATGTGCAGTCAATAGCTGATTCTTCTCTTTTCCGACAGGCAGACATGGTACACACAGGTCTGAAGTTGGAGCGAGCTCTCCTGGTTACAGCCTCTCAGTGCCAGCAGCCAGCAGCTGTAAGTTTATTATTAGTTGGTTTAGTTTTAGTTGATGCTGAGGACAAGATGAGAGGTTTCTGCTCAACTATCACAACATGCTGAAATAGACCTACCAGTCTCTTGATAATGTACATTTACACCAAGTCCCAGTGTAGAGTCAGACTTCAAGTGCCATTATGAGAATGGGCCATTACCTATTTATTGGTGTCCAGTGGCTTTTTTTCCTGTTATTTTGCTTAGAACAGTAGTTGCCCCTGAGACTTTGTTGCTTCTCTCAGTGGACAGCCTCTTGAAGCTTCTTGGGCCCTTGGGCCCAAATTTATCATATCATCCCCTAGGCCGTTTGGGTCATAGAGAGGTGGTTCTGTGGCTTCCCTGTGGGTGGGCTCTAGTCACGCTGCTGTGGAGATCTTATAGCTCCAGAGGTATTGCTTCACTCCTCATCCTTCACTGGTTAGGGGATCTCCCGCCACCTTTACTTCTACCTCAGAATTTGCTGCCAACTTGAAAAAAAGTTGAGTTAGAGAAAATCTAGGTTTTTCTCAGAGCCAGAGTTTTTAGTTTTGCTTTTTTTCTTCTTTTTGTATTTGGATTTCCTAGGCAAAGAGGGGTAATAAAACAAGTCTTCATGCTAATGCTGTACTATAACCTTTGGTCCTGTGGCGTGCCTAAATAATGTAAAAATAGTGCAAGATAATGTAAAATATATCAGACACTAATTCTTAATCTATCCTGAATGATTGAAGAGTTTTGTCTATCCTGAATGATTGAAGAGTTTTGTCTAAACCTTTTTTCCAAACCCACGCTTTCCAAAACAAATCAGGCAGCTGAGACACTATTACATTTCCTTTGCTTTAGACCAGGGTCAATAAACTACAGCCCACAGGCCAAATGTGGCCTGCGACTTGTTTTTGTAAATAAAATTTTATTGAAACACAGTCGTGTTGAGTAGTTGCAGCAGAGACCAGATGGCCCGCAAAGCCTGAAATATTTACTCTCTGGCCCTTTACAAAACAGTTTGCCCAATCCCTGCTTTAGATTTTTTTCCTGCTTAGATCTGAGAATTCAGATGTTCAGGAAACCAAACTTTGAAAGAAGGATAAAAACACTTTTTTTTTTTTTTTGGTGGACACAGAAATGTAAAATTCATCTAGGTGAGTTTTGCTAAGCTACCTGCTCAAATGCCAAGCCCCCTAGTTGCACTTGATTCAGCAGATCTCTACTCAGCAGCTGCTGTATGACTAGCGGTGCGTTCAGGGCTATAAGGATTATAGAAGAGGGATAAGATAAAGTCCTTGTTTTTGAAGAATTATTGAGAAATGAAAACACACTCATGTGGGCTCACTAATAGTTTGTGTTGCTGTGTGATAAGGTACCAGACTTGGTTATGCTGACAGTAAATGCTGTAGGAGGCTGGTGTGGGTGGGCTTGGAGTAAGATTGCTCTGAAGGCTGAGGAGCATTTGGCTAGATGGAAAAAGAAGAACATGGTGAGTAAAGGCACAGAGTGGAACCAGTACCTTCTGTTAGTGGGACAGAAAAGAGACAGGTGGTTGTAATGGTAGGATTTTGTGGTATAACTGGAGTATGGGTCCCAGTCATGAAGAGCCACAAAATCCAGCCTGAGGAGTTGTGACTTTGTGGGTAGAGTGAGATGAAGAGCAGTATTTTAGCCACGTGAACCTGTGCAGAATGAAGACAAAGTTTATTTGGTGCTCATTGTAGTTCATAAAGAATTCTTGCCTTCAGGATCAGAGTTGACCAACATATCAGAGCTTTTACAGGAAGACTGTAACCTGAATCTTTCCTCCATCTTTTTTTAGAATAAGCTTTCTGAATTGTTAGCACCTATCTCAGAGCAGATCCAAGAAGTGACATCTTTCCGGGAGAAGAACCGAGGCAGCAAGTTGTTTAATCACCTGTCAGCTGTCAGCGAAAGCATCCAGGCCCTGGGTTGGGTAGCTATGGTGAGCAGTGCAACTTCCAGGGGAGGGAAAGGATGGACTGGAAGAGGTAAGGAAATATGGCTGAAGAGGCTTTGGGTCACTGACAGCTTCTTTCTCTCTAGGCTCCCAAGCCTGGTCCCTACGTGAAAGAAGTGAATGATGCTGCCATGTTTTATACAAACCGAGTCCTCAAGGAATACAAAGATGTGTGAGTCCAGTTTTTCCTCAAGGGGGAAAGGGCAATAAACACAGACCCAACTGGTTACTTGTTGGAGTACAACTTTGGGGTTAAGGCTGCTCTTTGGTTGGTTCTCCTATCTCAGGGCTGCTTTCTGGAACGCTTGATAAACATTGGCTCATAGAAGCTACATTTGCAAGTAGGAAGTGTTTCTGCTTCTGCTTTGTCTCCATGGTTGGTGGAAGCCCTTTTAGTCTTCTCATCCTTACCCCTCCATGCTTAAGTTTTGCTGGAGGTAGCATGGACTTTATACGCTTTAATTTGCTAAATTATATAAGATTTTGTTCCTTGGTTGAGGATTTCTAACTGGCCCTGTAGCAAAGAGTTCAGTAGGATTTATTAGGAAATGAACCTGACTATTCATGCAGTTAGGTAAATTGAGAGTACGGTTGCCTAGCCAACACAGATGACAAACAGGTAAGAGGAGTCACTGTATGTCTTAACAAGTAAGGGGAGTCACTGTATGTCTTAACAGGTAAGGGGAGTCACTGTATGTCTTAACAGGTAAGGGGAATCACTGTATGTCTTAACAGGTAAGGGGAGTCACTGTATGTCTTAACAGGTAAGGGGAGTCACGGTATGTCTAACCACCCATGCACACCAGTCCTAGCTGACTTTTCCATTGCTGGTTTTGAGGTGGAGTGGTGGAGCTGTGCTTCAGCTTTACTTAGCTGCATAGCTACCCAAATCCTTTCTTCTATCCATCATCGGTCAACCAGTATTTGTTGAGTAACTACTGTGTCCCAGGAATAATCCTTCATATGTGTGAAATGTGTCCGAGAACACCAGGCACTTTTGATCCTTCCAGCAATGTGATGAATTAAGCATTGCAATGTTTTGATTATCCATCACCATTGCCCCATCACTTTATAGTTTAGGGAACTGCGTCTTAGGCTAAATAACCTTAAAGTTTTCCAGCTAATATACAGAAGAGAGGGGTCTTGAACTATAGTGCAGTGCTATTTTTGTAATGTACTGCTGGTTATTTCCTCCTAATGGGAAGTTTACTTTTTTTTTTTGATTGGGAGGAGGGGGGTATAGGGGACATATTTTGACATAAGGCACTGTGCTATATGGCATTCAAATTTCCTGGGGCCCTAGAGTTCCATAGGTGTGCCCGAGAGATCTCTCCACCATAGCTTCGTTGTTAGAATGTCTGCTTTTATCAGTTTATATATTAGGTTACAGTTATATGTTATGTACTAGGTTCTGTGTAAGGTGTACTTTGAAAGAACTGTTTTCTGCTACTAAAAAAAAAATGTTTGAGTAACACTGCTATTTAAAAAAAAAAAAAAAAAAAGGCTCACCAATGATAGAAAAACTACCATTAAGCAGACTCTAAGAAATGCCATAGGTAGGAGGATGTAAGCCCATAGGAAGGAGGGATTCTGGAACCACTATTGTAATATACCCTGGCTGCCTGTAACAAGTTCTTTCTTCTTTCTCCCAGGGATAAGAAGCATGTGGAGTGGGTCAAAGCTTACTTGAGTATATGGACAGAACTGCAGGCTTACATTAAGGAGTTCCATACGACCGGCCTCACCTGGAGCAAAACGGTTAGTGAGTTTTGAGCTTTGTCCCTCCCATTCTTTATTCCTTCAGGATGAGGGTCCATAGATTTCTTAGACTTCAGTACCACCAGTGTCCAAGAAGGAATGCCATAGTCTTCATTTGAAGATAGAAAGAAAAGGGGGAGAAGGAAAGGGAGAAAAATAGAAGAGAGTAAAGAAAGCAAGGAGCAGAGGAGAAGGAATATTCAATTCTATTCATTTTCAATAAACATGGGTCAGGGAGAGTGGTTGGTGCAGAAGGGGAGACAGAGATGAATGAGTTACACTGTCCCAGTCCTTAAGGGAGGTTGAAGATACAGATATAATACCCAGTACAAACCACCAAGCTGGATGCTATAAGAAAGATACAGACTACAGAGTATGAGGAGGAGAAGAGTGTTTCTTACTGGGAGAGATGGTATTTTGAAGAGGTGTACTCTGGTCTGAGACTTGAAAGAAGTATAGGAGATTGGGAAGTGAGAGAGATGAGGATATTAGCAAAAGGCACTGCTGAAGCAAAGTAATTACAGAGTAAATGTGGAGATCGCTCATCTCTGGCTTCAATAAGAGATGGTCAGAGAATTTTAGGAGAAAAGGCTGGAAAGAAGGCTGAGGCCCCTTGGACTTTATAGTAAGTCATAAGTAACTATCATAGGTATTTGAGCAAGCGAGTGACAATGATCAGCGTTGTCCTTAAAAGAGTCCCAGTAGGTCAAGGATAAAGGCTCATGTTCAAACTATGGAAGTGGTCATGGTTCTAGGGGTTGGTACACAAGAATTTGCAGGAGATATAACCAAGGTTATAGAAAAACTTAAAGAGGCTGAGGAAGACACAAAAAAAGATTAAACAGTCAGTCTTGGATTCTAATGTCTTTCAATGAAATAGAGACAAGGGGATGATTGTACAGGTAGGGGTGTAGGCAGGAGATGATAAAATCAGTTTGGGACTTGTTGACTCTGAGCCCCTGGTGATACACTAGGTATGGGAGATGTGAGGTAGATTTTTAGAAGTGTGGGTTTAGAGCTGGAATTAGGTAGATGTGAAAGCTGAGAAATGGAGCAGAGAGTTGGATTCTTGGGGAGGGGTGACCGGGAATGAAGCCAAGTTGAATGTGGATATAGAGCATTAATTACTGTCTCAAGGGCTATGGTGGGTAGCCCATGTACCCTGGACACATGGTAGGGCCCTACTGGGAATAGTACAGAGGGAGAGAAGGAGGATGAGTGTGTCACCTGTGCTTATTATTTCAGGGGCCTGTGGCAAAAGAGCTGAGTGGCTTGCCATCTGGACCCTCTGCCGGATCGGGTCCTCCTCCCCCTCCACCTGGCCCGCCTCCCCCTCCAGTCCCCACCAGTTCAGGCTCAGATGACTCTGCTTCACGCTCAGCACTGTTTGCCCAGATTAACCAGGGGGAGAGCATCACACATGGTGAGTGAATACTTTGGAAGAAGAGTTGGTACACCAGGTTGGTTGAGCCAGACCTTACCAACCAGACACACAACAATTAAATCTGTAAACCAGAACCCTGGCTTGTGTGTGGGAGAATTAATTTGGGATATCATGTTCCTTCAAGTTACCCAAAGGGACAGCAAATCTGGCCTAAATGGAAATTGAAAATGGGTGATTACAGTTGGGAAGCCCTCTGCCTCATGGGAGAGTGATTTAACATTAAGTGGCATATAGAGAGTACCCTGTTGTGCCGAGGTGTGGTGTATGGTGCTGGCAGTTTCATCAGAGCTTTATCCATGTTACCACAATGGTCTCTTTGGGAAGTCCTGTGATTGGAACACTGGGTGGGCACTGAGGGGGGTGGCAGGTTAATTTCCTCAGAGGATGTATACTAGTCACATTGAAAATTTCTATAAGAATTACCTAATGTTGGTATAAACAAACTAGACACTTTATACACTGCTGGTGGAAGTCTAAATCGTACTGTCTTCTTGGAATTCTGGGTCAAGAAGGTTAAAAATGTTCTTACCCACTTCTAGAAATCTGTACATAAAATATCTAAAATATAGAACAAGTTTTATACACAGTGTCATTTCTAATACTAAAAATACTATAACAGCATAATTGTCTAACAGTAAGGCAGTGGTTAACTATAGTATGTCCTCTTGATGGAATATTATGTAGCCATTAAATTTTTTTCTACAGTGAACCATGTAGTGTTTAACAACAGCAACAAAAATCTAGTAGTTCAGCTACAACCGCAAGGAATAGTGGCCATTCAGCATTGGTTAGTCAGCACAGATTGGGCCATGTTCAAGAGCAAAGTGTGCATCAGCCTGCTGAGGGAGACTATGGAATCTTTTACCTTAAAAAATAAAAAAAAAACCATATTTTTAGAAACTGTAGGTTAACATGAGAAAAATTTTATTGTTAATTGTGTGTGTGTGTGTGTGTGTGTGTGTGTATGGGGGGGGGTTAGGGTTAGATGTCGGTGAGGTTTTTCTGTTTTTACCACATTTTCTTTAGTATCACATTATTATTTTGTTCTTTTATATTGCTTTTAAAACTACACATATATATTTTGTGATTGTATGTTTGGCATTTGTCTTTCTAAATCTTTTCTTGTACATTTACATGCCCCCCTTTAAATATACACACATTCCATATTTTTTAAGATGGGAAAAAACATGTTTTTTAAAATGGGAGCATGTAATTTACCCTTGGGGGAGAAGAGAAATTACTGAAGTACTTCTCTAAAACTGTGGGAGAACCTCTCAGGCTCTGGTTTTTGGCTTTAGGTTTTCTGTTAAGGATGAGTTTAACCTCTGATAGCAGAAGTTGGTTATTGCCTCAGCCCAAAGCCCTGGTATGAGGAACAGGAACAGAGTAACTGCCGTTCTTTTACAGCCCTGAAACATGTATCTGATGACATGAAGACTCACAAGAACCCCGCCCTGAAGGCTCAGAGTGGTCCCGTACGCAGTGGCCCCAAACCATTCTCTGCACCTAAACCAGGAGTCAGCCCCTCCCCGAAACCAGCTGCAAAGAAAGAGCCACCTCTACTTGAACTGCAGGGCAAGAAGTGGAGAGTGGTGAGTTAAAACTAACTGGACTGGGAACAAGGGATGGGGATGGAGGATTTAAACAGGGAGCACAGACAAATGAGTGTAGAATTCTGGCTTAGACTGAAAGGGACAAGTTTGGGACAGCCTCAGTTACCCTGGGTGGTATGTGCTTAGTGATGAGATTCCTGAAAGGTGTATCTCTTTAACAGGAAAATCAAGAGAATGTTTCCAACTTGGTGATTGATGACACAGAGCTGAAACAGGTGGCTTACATATACAAGTGTGTCAATACAACATTGCAAATCAAGGGCAAAATTAATTCCATTACAGTAGGTGAGTCCTTTTCGCTGTCCCAGGCCGTGTTGGTCCTAGAGCCCGAGCGGGCTAGAACCATTTCCCCTACTCTCTTTCTAAAGATTCTTAAAGGTTATACTGTTGATCTGTTCCCTTTCTTCTCCCAGATAACTGTAAGAAACTCGGTCTGGTGTTCGATGACGTGGTGGGCATTGTGGAGATAATCAATAGTAGAGATGTCAAAGTTCAGGTAACTTGGTATCTTGGCTCCTTCTTTTGGTCCCTGAGGAATTAATTAAGAGAGACACAGCAGACCCACAGATGTTGCTCTGGTGGTAATCTGATTCTACAGTCTGTAAGCTGATCTGCTTTGGATGTGTCAGGAGAGGAGTCGGCTCTATAGTGAGCTCTTTCCAGCTCCCATCCAGCCCACCCCTAGCATCCAATACCTGTTGGGCACCTGTGAGCTTTTTATGTAGTTGCTGCATCCTGTGAAACAGTGAAGGCTTTTCCTACCACTATTCTCGACTGGTGGGACTCAGTTTTCTTGGTTTTCTCTGCAGGTAATGGGTAAAGTGCCAACCATTTCCATCAACAAAACAGATGGCTGCCACACTTACCTGAGCAGGAATTCCTTGGACTGTGAGATAGTCAGTGCCAAATCTTCTGAGATGAATGTCCTTATTCCTACAGAAGGTGGTGACTTTGTAAGTTTCTTGATCTCTTTAGTAGTATGATGTTCAAAGGAAGGGACTGATGACCTCTTGCATTGGAGAAAGCTATTAGATGGACATTGTACATCGAAGCCTGAGGTAGTCCCTGTAGTAGAGCTCCAAAGGGGGCTGGTTTCTGCTTTTAAATTGAGCAGATACTCAGGGTAGCAAAAAGGAATGGGAATGAGTCACAGCGCTCGGTTGGGCTGGTGCCATACATACACATTTTTCATGCCTCATAGGTTCAACCATCTGCCTGAGGTCACAGATCAGCAAATAATAGGACATAGATTCAAACCTACATGTTTGGCTTTGGAGCCTTGGTTCTCTTTCCCACATGCCAATGCTCTTCTGTCCTATCAGTGGTAGGGAAAGTGGTAGCCCAAGATGTGGCGTTGCCATTTACATAGCCATGCTTTTCAGACGGAGTCAGTTTCTGTCTCATTACATGCTACTGTGCTCTCAGTGGAAGCAAGCTTTGGGAGAAGAGTGAGAGTTGACCTCAGCTCTTAGCTCAAATTTTTGAACTATTGTCTCTTTATTTGCAGAATGAGTTCCCAGTCCCTGAGCAGTTCAAGACCGTATGGAATGGGCAGAAGTTAGTCACCACAGTGACAGAAATTGCTGGATAAGCGAAGTGCCACTGGGTTCTTTGCCCTCTCCCTTCACACCATGGGATAAATCTGTATCAAGACGGTTCTTTTCTAGATTTCCTCTACCTTTCTGCTCTTAAACTGCTTCTCTGCTCTGAGGAGCACAGCTACCTGCCTTCACTGAAATATACCTCAGGCTGAGATTTGGGGTGGGATAGCAGGTCAGTTGATCATCTGCAGGAAGGTGCAGCTTTTCTGTATCAGCTCAACCACACCACCAGTTCATTCTTAAGGAACTACAGACCAGGATTGGTAGGTTTTGGCTTTCAGCTTTTGGGGGTTATTCTACCAAAAGTCTTTTGGGAAGAATAAAACAGTCCCTAGGAATTAACCGATCAGAATGTTCACATAAATTAATCTTTTTCTAACAACGCACATGAGTGTAGCAGAAGCTGGTGTGATTTCAGCTGGTTCTTCTAACCAAACTAATTTTTCACTGTTGATAAGTTAGGTAAGGGTTGAACTGGACCAAAGGCTGAGGCTTGGCCATCTAGCATTCCAAGCAAAATTGTTTCCCATAAGCATTCCTTTTATTTTGCATTCCATCCTGGGTCTGCCTGAACCATGAAATAGTAGGTTCTCCTGTACTGGCTGCTGTAGCAGTATCTTGCACCCTGGGCAGTTAGAGGAGTCCTGGAGCCTTTCTCTGGGATCCCTGCCTAGCATCTTCCTACAGAGATGACTTTTTTTAACAAAGGGAAAACAAGAACACACCATTCCAAGGAATCTGGCATTCCTTACTCCTTCTGTGCTAGGTGCCTGTCATCCACCTTCACTGCCTCCTTTTTCCTGTCATGCTCAGCAGCTTATGGCTTCTGTCCAGGCACCTGAACAGAGGGCTAAAACCTCCACTGTGGGCTGGTTTTAGGTCTTGATTTACGTAAGAATCTTGCACAGCATTGCTAGTGTAAATTTCAGTTTTTCCCTCTAGGACATACACTTACCAAAATATGCAACTTTTTTGGTGGGAAGAGAAATTGTCCTGTGACTTCTACCGATTTCCTGAGGCCTGTGGAAATAAACCTTTATGTACTTAAAGTTATACAGAAAATAGAATAAAGTTAATACCAAACTTGCTTCGTTGTTTACCTATACTATTTGCTGTACAGAGATGTAAAATATTGAAAAGAAAAATGACACCAAGGATAAGAAACTACTCTTTATTTTAGACAACCTCATAAAATTAAACTTCACATCCTCCCACCTCTTACCCTTATAGGGCTTGAGAGAGGGAAAGGAGAAATCAAAGGGTAAACTGCAACACTTAACAAGGTACTTCCAGTCAATCAAAGCAGAGCTAAATCATTTTCCCAAACTGGCATTCTGCGGAACAGTCTTCCAGAAGGTGTTGATAGGTCTGTTGGGGGCAAAGAGTGTGCGAACGCCAAGACGTCTATGCACAAAAACAATGCGGGAAATGGTGGTAGATAAAATTAAGGTTATTTTTTTTTTTATTGTAACAGGAATTCTCAGAGTCCTTAATACTCTAATGGGAGTTGATCTCCAAGAGGAGAAAGTATAAAGCCTTTCTCAAGCTTTTTGAGCGAACTTTTTTTTTTTTCACAGAGCACATTACAAACAGTATGCTGGTAAGTATGTATGATATTTGGGGATGGAAGTTAGAAAGCCTATCTCTTCACATTTTCCCACCCATTCTCTGCTAAAGCCAGCAGCAGTGACTAGAATCCAGACCACTAGTCCTACAAAGAAACCAGGGAGAGGTTTAGTCAAGGATGGAATGTAAAGAATCACTATCTCCTCATTTTTTTCACTTCCACTCCTACTACCGCCCCAGCTACAAGATGTACGTTCCCTCCCTTAAGCAACCCAACTGAGTGCTACTCCCCTCCTTTTGTGTCAGAGTGACTAATTCATCACTACCTGAGACAAAGTGAGTGCTACAGAGGCAAGATGGGGGCAAGTGGAATTTGTCTAGTAATTGCTAGGACACCACAGAAGGCGACATATTATCTAAGCAATACTTTCCCAAGCACACGTTAAATCTCCACCAGCAAAACTGAGCATTTACAGGACTCAGGCCCGGGTACTCGCCTTTTCTCTTGGCTTGAAATGTGATCAGACTTCTGAATCCCCCAGAAAAGGTGTCTGCCTTTAGGATCTATTTCATTGCTTTAGTTCAGTCTCCTCTGGGCCTGGCACTGACCTGCAGCAGACTCCCTTTCCTAAGACTGAGCTTGACCACACGAAAGGGTTGTAAAGTTGTCTCCATGGTTATTAGCTAATTAAATTTGCATTCAACACCGTATGGTGATAGGATAAGCAAAGGATAAGATTCAGATCTTTCCAAGGAGGGCATGTTAAGCTGATGACGGGAGAAGGATTAGTTGCAAGCTAGATAAGAGCTCAGGTTTGGGCATGAAAGGAACTGTCTCCCACAGGTTTGGAAGTGAAGGGGCTCCCTGAGCTCTGGTGCAGACGGCAGGAGTTTCACTTAAGGAAGGGGATGATGTGAGCATCAAGCCATTCTTCAGACAGTTGAAGATGGTCTCCTTCTATAGCCAGGAAGACAAGCTTCCCTGCATTGTCCATTTCCTTTAGCCCCAAGCGGTCCTGCAGGGAGAGAGGCCATAATTAAAAGGGTTAATGAAAAGTTTTAGAGTAAAATAATAGAATGTTAACTTGAGAAATATTTTCCAAATTAATTTTTTTCTGAGTATTAAAATAATTGAGGTGTATTTGTAGAAAATGCCAAAAAAGATACCTCGTTCCAGTTTTTTTTCTGAGCATTAAGAATATATATGCAGTTGAGATTGTTCTATACGTAGTTTTACATTCTGCTTTCTGAAAAGCTCCCAAAGCTTCTGAGGACAGCTCATGAGTGGGCAAGCCGTAGACAAAAATTGCCTCGGAATGTCATAGTTAAGTAGACCGAGGCAAAGACAGAACAATAGCTAGGTGACTTAAACATATCCAACCCTTAGATAACAAACCTGGGACACTTTAATACTCCCACAGTGGAAAACGTCATTCCTCACAGCCTGGGTAGCACAGAACATACGCCCCTGGCTGGGAAAATGAACAGCTTGGATAGTGCTAGAATGCTGCTTCTGCTGTGGCTACCATCAGTCTGAGTTTCAAAATAAGGAAGTTCTTATTTTCTAAAACTTTTTTTTTTCCTTTTAGGTTTTAGGTCAAAATTTACACAGCAAATTAGGTTCTCCTTTAACAATCTTTATAGAGACTGTTCCATGCCATTGGTTACAATTTTTACAATGTGTCAGCATTTTCATTATTTCCATTCTGTTTGTTCTTGTTTCCATCGATCTAGCTTCCCCTCCCCTCCTTGCTTTCTCATCTTTGCTTTTGGGTAACTGCTGACCATTTGGTCTCATATAGTTAATTGTTTAAGGAAGCACAGTACTCATGGTGATATTATAATATCTATTATATATTATTTGGCTGAAAGGTGACCTGCAGAAATAGCTTCAATTCCAAGTTCATAGGGCAACAGTCTTGGAGGTTCCTCTAGTCTCTATCAGTCCAGTAAGTCTGACGTTTTTTAGGAATTTGAGTTTTTTTCTACATTTTTCTCCATTCTATCCAGGACCTTCTATTGTGTACCTGGTCAGAATGATAAGTAGTGGTAGCCAGGCACCATCTAGTTCTGTCATTAGCTGCTTTCAAGTTAGCCCTCGACTCATGGCAACCCTATGCACAATGGGATGAGCCCATTGTGATCCATAGTTTTCACTGGCTGATTTTTGGAAGTAGATCACTAAGCCTTTTCCTCATCTGCCTTAGTGTGGAAGCTCAAATGAAACATGTTCAGCATCATAGCCACAAGCAAGCCTCCAATGACAAATGTGTGGTGGCTGCACATGAGGTGCACTGGCCGAGAACTGAACCCAGGTCTTACATATGGAAGGCAAGATTTGTACCACTGAACCATTATTGATAGCTAATTATATGCCAAACACTGCTCTATCTAGTCAATGTTTTAAAGTAAGCCCTCTCTTCTATGTATTCTTTGTGCACAGGGGCTTCCTGGATTTGTAGTAGAGTGCACCTCAGCAAAGGAAGCAGTTCTAAACCTTTTTATCAAAAGGAAGGAGTCAGAGATGGTGTGGCTGTCGTGTATGCCCGAAGAGTAAAACATGAGGCACATGCCCCTTCCATCTTCAGGATGTAGTAGATTTCTGTAAACCAGTGCCCGATATGCTAGCCCAACAATCAAAAGCCTAACAAACCCCACCCATGTGAGACCTGAGTCAGATGCCTCATGCGCACCCAGTACTCTGGTGGCTCTACCACCAAAGGACCTAGCAGGTTCAGGAACCAGGAGCTAAAAACACAGTGCTAACCTCCTAAAACAAATCTGTCCTCCCAGTTACTGACCTGTATGTACAAAGTGGTCTTCTGTAAGGGGATGGTTTCCTTGGCTTGGCCACTTCTGTAAAATCCAAACCACTGCAGGAGGGGAGGAAGAAACAAGGTCAGATCATACGCTTTGCACATGCTGCCAAACTAATTTGAGACTGGCTACTAGCTAAGACCACCAACAAACTGAACATAAAGCTATAGCAAGAAGGAAAAATGGATGGGATATGTGTTGAGTCATCTCTTTCTAAGGCTGGATCCTGAGGGATAAGTTCTTCCAAAGAGCTTTCCATTTACTAGAATTTCTGCTTCCTACATGTATTGAGTGCCAGCCCTGTGTAAATCCCTGTGATGAACTCTAGACATTCAGAGATGAATGTATGGTCCCTGTTTCCAAGAAGCTTGCAGTTTACTGAGACACATAATTGTTTAGCACAGGGATCAGTAAACTTTCTGTGTAAAGGCCAGATGCAATATTTTAAGCTTTAGGGGCTATATGGTTACAACTACTCAACGCAGTTAATGCAACGCAGTCATAGACAATATGTAAAGAAGGGGCATGGCTATCTGTGTTCCAATAAAACTACTGAAATTTGAATTTCATGTAATTTTAAAGTGTCATAAAATGTTCTTTTTATTTTTTTCAACCTTTAAAAATATAAAAACCATTCTTAGTTTGTGGGCCATACAAAAACAGGTGGGAGATAGGAATTGGCCCACAGGCCATAGTTTGCCAACCCCTGGTTTGGCATAATATGAAGAGTGCTCTCATAGAGGCTGATGATTCTACAAAAGAGGCAACAGTTCTGCTTGGAATAGGGATGGCGTCCTGGGGCCAGTGACATTTGAGTTTGGTCTTGACAGTTGAGTAAGAAGCCGATCAGGTGGAGAAGCCAAGGAAGGGCATTCTAGACATGGAAAAGCATGAACAAAGGCATGAGGAGTAAAAGCACATGCCAAGTTTGGGCATGTCGAGTAGTACAGGAGGGCATGATCACAGAGTGCGTGAAGTGGGCAGTGAAGGGAGATGAGGCTGGAAAGATAGGATAAAGCTCAATCAAGGCAGACCTTGAATGCCAGGCTTAGAAACTTACAGATTTGGGGCTAGTGGTTCCGATCTTTTTTGGGTAATAGGTCCATTTGAGAATCTGATGAAAATTACAGACCCTTCCCCAGAGAGTACAATTACATAATTTAACATACGCTTTTGCGGAGTTACAACCCTCAGTGACCCATTTATAAACCTTCGGTGAAAAACTCCTGCCCCACACAAAGGTTGGTGGAAAGGACTGAAGGTGTGCTCCCAGCAGGAAGCAGCATTTGAACGCCATTTACTCCTATGGTCTCCTGGCATGTTGTGTCCTAAACAGTGTCTCACCTCAGAATCCACAGGGTCCACAATGGAATCATTGAGGAATTTCACCATCACAAACTTCTTTAAGGCCATCAGGTTTTTCTTGTAGGACTCATTGACACCCTGGAGGAAAGGCAGCAGCGCCTCCATGACATTGCCATTGGATTCCAGTGGGGGGATTTAAGCCTCTCAGTGCTCTAGTCTCCCTGACTCTGGGCCACCATGTTTCTTTTCCCCATGGGGATGGCTGCTTTTCCAGCTCCCTGCCCAGAGTATACATTTTACAGCCTTTCCTGCACATCCTACCTGATTCATACTCCCCCACCGGCCATGGCATCCAGTGCAGCCATGAATCTGCCACAGTGCACTCCAGAGGCATTCACACAGGTATGCCAGAGAAAGCCAAGGCAAAGTAAGAAACTGCAAATTGTGGCAGTTGTGTGATTCTAGTCTGTATTCTTTTCCCTTTTTATTTTCCTTAAAATTTTCTGTTAAAAAAAAAAAAATCCTCAAAATAAGCCTAATATAATACTGAGCCATCTACTTTACCGGACTCTCCCAAACCAAGTCTGCGACATACTCAGTCCCTTCTGCAGTTGATAAACCTCTCTTCTGAGAAAATCTGCCCCAGAAGGGACCTGCCAGGAAGGCTTCCCTAATTAAGACAGCAGCTGGGAATTTCTACATACTCCAGGGAGCAAACAAATGAGTTTATCCTGCTTCTTCAACACTAGGAAAAGGAAAGGACTTAAGGGAAAAAAGCCAAATCATTTCAACTTCCCTAAAAGGAACTAAATCTCATAAGCACTGCTCAGCATATTTTGGGTAAACCATCACTGCTAATCTGTTCACGATGCCGAATAGGAAAATGAATGCACGACTATGGCAGCCTGGCTTGGGTGCTTACCCTCTCCTGATTTATATCCGCCAAGAAGATGCTGTGGTTGCGGTACGTGTCCTCCTTTATGGGGTCATGCCAGTATTCTGCTTGCACCAGGCTGCAGGAAGAAAAAGGAATGGTGGTGACCAAGCTGCTGTCAGTCAGCACGCCGGGGGCTTGCCCCTGTTTATAGGCCACCAAGAGACTTCAAAGACAAAAGGCTTAAGACCCCAAGTCCCAGGCTTGAGGAGCTGGTGATGGTGGTGCATGATGGCAATAAAGTGCACAAGATAGAAAAGGATAAAATTCATCCTTACTTAATGAAGGTCTGTTACGCAAATCACCATGAGGACAGAGGAGGGTCTTGCCCTCCAACAGAGAAGACTCCCACCTATGAAACAGTCCATCAACAAGACACTTGAGGCAAGGGCTGGCTATTCAACACGGTGTAGCAAGCCCAAATGGTTTAGGAAAAGGGCTCATCAATATCTGGTTTCCTGTGGTACTGAGTTTTATCATACTTATTATGCCCCCAGGTCATGGAGCATACTGTCCTGTCCCCACAACCTCATCTCTTTGCCTTCTACTCATTCAAGATTCAGCTCAAACATCATCACCTCTGCCTCTTCCTCTTCATCCAGTCCTCCATTTCTCCATCCATCTTGCCATCCTCAGGCAGGGACGGATAACTCACCTCTCAATCACAAAGCATTTATCATACTGTCCAGTGATGACACCAGTTTTCAGTATTCTGGCATGTCTTAGTAATCTAGTGCTACTATAACAGAAATACCACAAGTGGATGGCTTTTAACAAAGAGAAATTTATTTTCTCACAGTCTAGTAAGCTACAAGTCCAAATTCAGGGCGTCAGCTCCAGGGGAAGGTTTTCTCTCTCTGTCTACTCTGGAGGAAGGTCCTTGTTATCAGTCTTCCCCTGGACTAGAAGCTTCTCCGTGCAGGAACCCTGGGTCCAAAGGATGCGCTCTGCTCCCGGCACTGCTTTCTTGGTGGTACGAGGTCCCCAACTCTCTGCTTGCTTCCCTTTCATCTCTTGGAAGATAAAAGGTGTAATCCATACAAGGCTGTAGTTTTTGATCTTCATCAGTAAGTGCTTCAAGTCCTCTACACTTTCAGCAAGCAAGGTTGTGTCATCTGCATAACACAGGTTGTTAATGAGTCTTCCTCCAATCCTGATGCCTTGTTCTTCTTCATATAGTCCAGGTTCTCGAATTATTTGCTCAGCATACAGATTGAATAGGTACGGTGAAAGGATACAACCCTGACGCACACCTTTCCTGACTTTAAACCACACAGTATCCCCCTGTTCTGTTCAAATGAATGCCTCTTGATCTATGTACAGCTTCCTCATGAGCACAATTAAGTGTTCCGGAACTCCCATTCTTCGGTATGTTATCCATAATTTGTTACGATCCACACAGTCGAATGGCTTTGCATAATCAATAAAACATAGGTAAACATCTTTCTGGTATTCTCTGCTTTCAGCCAGGATCCATCTGACATCAGCAATAATCTCCCTGGTTCCACCTCCTCTTCTGAATCCAACCTGAATTTCTGGCAGTTCTCTGTGGATATACTGCTGCAGCCACTTTTGAATGATTTTCAGCACAATTTTACTTGCATGTGATATTAATTATATTGTTTGATAATTTCCGCATTCGGTTGGATCAACTTTCTTGGGGATAGACAAAAATACGGATCTCTTCCAGTTGGTTGGCCAGGTAGCTGTCTGTCTTCCAAATTTCTTGGCATAGACGAGTGAGCACTTCCAGCACTGCATCCATTTATTGAAACATCTCAACTGATATTCCGTCAATTCCTGGAGCTTTGTTTTTCACCAGTGTCTTCAGTGCAGCTTGGACTTCTTCCTTCAGTACCATCAGTTCCTGCTCATATGCTATCTCTTGAAATAGCTGAACATCGACCAATTCTCTTTGGTACAGTGACTGTGTATTCCTTTCATCTTCTTTTGATGCTTCCTGCATCACTTAATATTTTCCCCGTAGAATCCTTCACTATGGCAACTTGAGGCTTGAATTTTTCTTTGGTTCTTTCAGCTTGAGAAATGCCGAGCGTGTTCTTCCCTTGGTTTTCTATCTCCAGCTCTGTGCACATATCATTATAATACTTTACTTTGTCTTCTCGAGCTGCCCTTTGAAATCTTCTGTTCAGTTCTTTTACTTCATCATTTCTTTCTTTTGCTTTAGCTACTTGACGTTCAAGAGCTAGTTTCAGAGTCTCTTCTGACATCCATTTTGGTCTTTTCTTTCTTTCCTGTCTTTTTAATAACACTTAATTTAATAATAATAAGCAACATCATCATAAACAGAGAAAACATTGAAGTTGTCAAGGATTTCATTTTACTAGGATCCACAATCAACACCCATGGAAGCAGCAGTCAAGAAATCAAAAGATGCATTGCATCGGGCAAATCTGCTGCAAAAGACCTCTTTAAAGTGTTAAAAAGCAAAGACGTCACCTTGAAGACTAAGCGCCTGACTCAAGCCATGGTATTTTCAATCACATCATACCCATGCAAAAGCTGGACAATGAATAAGAAGACTGAAGAAGAACTGATGTCTTTGAATTGTGGTGTTGGCAAAGAGTATTCAATAAACCATGGACTGCCAAAACAACAAACAAATCTGTCTTGGAAGAAGTACAACCAGAATGCTCCTCAGAAGCAAGGATGGCGAGACTACGTCTTACATACTTTAGACATGTTATCAGAAGGGATCAGTCCCTGGAGAAGGACATCATGCTTGGTAAAGTAGAGGGTCAGTGAAAAAGAGAAAGACCCTCAATGAGATGAAATGACACAGTGGCTGCAACAATGGGTTCAAGCAGAACAATGATTGTAAGCATGGTGCATGACCGGGAAGTGTTCTGTTCTATAGTACACAGGGTCGCTATGAGTTGCAACTGACTCCTGACTGGACAGCACCTAACAACAACAACAACAAAGATAAAAGGTGGCGCAGGCCACACCCCAGAGAAACTCCCTGTACATTGGCTCAGAGATGTGACCTGAGCAAGGATGTTATGTCCCACCCTAATCCTCTTTAACCACAGGCAGAGATTATGATTTGTAACACATAGGAAAATCACAAAATGGAAGACAACCAAACAATATTGGGAATCATGGCCTAACCAAGTTGACACATATTTGTGGGGACACAATTCAATCCATGACATGGAATGTCATGCATTTTTAAGCATCATAAAGCAGGTATTTTGGTTGTTACAGTATTATTTCAGATACAGGTTTGCGGTTCTGTTCACACTTACTTTCTCTCCAATCTCTTTCTCATTCCTTTCCAAGTCTCCCTCCCAAAACTGGCACCCTGACAGGCCTCCCAACAGCTATTTTCCACTTAATTCCTGCATCTACACAGCAGCACCCCCACCCCCCAAAAAAAGGAAGGGGAAAAAAAAAAAGCAAAACTGAGCATGGATCTATAGTGGGAGACGTCCTTGGGGGAAAAGGAGAAATTGGAACAGGTTGGTAGGGAGAGAAATCAAAATTCCAACAGGAGCTCCCCAGTCAGAGTGGAAGAGCTGCCTGCCCAGAGGTGGTGGTGCAGGAAGCCCCACTCAGCGGAGCAGAAGGGCACTGAAGCCCAGTGGAACCAGCTACACCAGACACCACGGCAGCTGCTCACGCCCAGGAGCAGACAGGACTGAGGTTAAAGGAAGCAGCAGTCAGATCTTCAGCAGTCAGAGTGACATACTGTAAACTGTTTATAAATGTATTTGAAATCTTTTAAATGTTCAGTTTCACTGATTTTTAAAAATCTGATGAACTCTGAACATTTGTAAAATACTAATATTAGTAAAATACAAACACTAATATTAATATTATAAATGATCTTATCATTTTGTTTTAGTATTGCTATTGCTTATCACGTGAGAAGTGTTTGTTCCCTGTCTCTCCCCTATAGGACTATAAGCTCCTGGCCTAGAGCAGATGTTCGGCAGTAAGGGTTTATTCAATAGAATGGACTGATGTAGGGATGTCAGACAAACTATGAAAAGAACTGAGTCTGAAGGAGGGGTAGGGTTTAGAGGTGTGAGGAGAAAGGAAGCACAGTATAGTCAGAAAGAATAAGGAAGAAAAGCTTCAAGAGTAGGTGGTATCCATACATCTACAGACAACTGATTTTTGACAAGGCCCACCCAATGAGGAAGGAAGAGTCTCTTCAACAGAAGACCAGACTTAATGGTCTGACTGAGACTGGAAGAACCCCGGAAAGCATGGTCCCTGGATTCTCTATCAGCTCAGAACTAAAACAATTCCCAAGGCCAACTCTTCAGACAGGGATTGGACTGGACTGCGGGACATAAAGTGATACTCGTGAGGAGTGTGCCTCTTGGCTCAAGTAGATACAAGAGACTAAGTAGGCAGCTTCTGTCCGCAGGTGAGATGGGAAGGCAGAGAGGGTTAGGAGCTGGTTGAATGGACATGGGGAGACAGGGGTGGAGGAGTGTGCTATCACAGTATGGGGAGAGCAATTAGGGTCACAAAGCAATGTACATATAAATTTTTGTATGGGAGACTAACTTGGAATGTAATCTTCATTTGAACTACAACAATAAAACAATAAAAAAAGAGTCTCTTCAATAAATGGTGCTGGGAAAATTGTGTTTCCACATGAAGAAGAATGAATCAGGATCCACGCCTCATACCATACACAAAAACCAGTTCAAAATGGATCAAGGACCTAATTGTGAAAACTACAGCCATAAAATTTTTAGAAGAAAATACTGGGAAGGGCCTGCTGGGCCTAGTTTTTAACAATGGATTATCAGAACAAGAAAAGCACAAGCAGCAAAAGGCAAAATAGATAAATGGGACCTCATAAAAATTAGATACTTTTCTTCATCAAAGACCTTTATCAACAAAGTGAAAACACACCCTACAGATGGAGAGAAAAAATTCAGAAACCATATACCTGATAAGGGTCTAATATCCAAAATATATAAAATATATCTGTAACTTAACAACAAAAAAACAAACAGCCCAATCAAAAAATGGGCAAAGGACTTCAACAGTTCACCAAAGAGGATATTCAAATGGCCAACAAGTACATGAAAAGAT